TGGAACACGTATTCGGGTTCATTGACATCACCGAAGATGATTTCTTTGGATTTGCAGTCGATGGTCACTCGATGTTTAGACAACCAATCCATGCCAAGGATGATATCGAAGTGATCCATTTTCATTGGAAGTAAAGTAACTTCCCGAATTCGATCGCCACTAAATAACGGACAGTTTGGGAATTGACCAATAGGAGTACTTATATGTAAAGGAAACTCGATGGATTGTTCATACGATTTAAGATTTTCTTCAAAGTTTTCAGAGACAATCGAGTGTATAGCACCTGTATCAAATAAAACATATGCATCTCTATTGTCAATAGAAAGGGTACCAGAAACCATACCCGCAGTAGATTTGTCAGCAGATAGTGTAAACACTCGACCACCAGCAGTAGATTGCTTCTCTTTATCTTTAGAATTATCTTTCGGCCCTTGTTTACAATCACGAGCTATATGACCTCGTTGACCACAATTATAACAGGCGCCGGTCATTCGAATACATGGGCCAGGACGATGTCTAAAACCACAATCTTTGCATCGTAACAGAGAAGTTGTATTCGAAAAACCTTTACTAGAATTTTCCTGAGATGCAATTGGAGGTCTATAATTTGGTTGTTTCCATTGACCTGCCCGATTGGTTCCTCGCCCGGTAGAATTTCCTTGAAACACATCTCTGTTTCTTTTCGTATACCACTATCACCTCGGGAAAGTATAGAGTCTACGATAATCCTATCTTAGTTCTACCCATTTCTCACAGATCAAACCTAAATTGTACCACAGGATCATAACCTATAGCTCTGATACCACAACTTGTAACAACCCCGTCCCGCGTGGTCAAAGACGGGAGATGCCACAAGTGGTTAAAAAAACAACGCATTATATAAACCAGAGCAGCTAATAAAATTTACCAAAAGATAATTACATAACCACAGACGGAAATAACGTGTCTCAAAATACGGTCCCAAAATACCAGTATGTCTACATAATCATCAAAAATTTAACAAAAGTATGACTTAATGAGTTATCTTCAATATTGTCATCTCCGTAGCTCTCATCCCAAAATTCCTGCTAAGTCATGTACCTGTCGAGGACAAGAAAATCTCGGCTGAGCTTAATGCTCAGTGAACGGATAATAATAATTAAACAATGAATATGAGATAACAAGTTCAAAAGCAATTTATAAAGCCAAGTGATAATTCAAAATAAAGTCAAAATGCCCCAAAAGCATATCAAGGGTTCGAAGACCAAACCGCATCACGAAGACGCGTTGTTCCCAAAGGATGATCAGTCCATTCAGGCACAAGTGAGGAAAGGGGTGTGAGCACAACACAGCAATCCTCTCCGTGAATTTAACCACGGCCACAATTCATTATCCGATAACAGTTCCTAAGATCGATCCATACGCCCTCTATTCGACCGGTACATAATCAAGTCCATTTTTAAGGACTATAAAAATAAGGACGCCATGATCGTTTTAGTCACCATGGAAATATCTCAATACCGGTGCTCCAGTTATTGAGTCTATTGAAAGTTGTAGATTGGTATCATACGAGTCTAATGCTTTTGAAATCATCTCATTTGGATCATCCATCTATTTTATATGAATTTCACAAAACTRTAAATTAATACCGAATAMAGTGTAAACARCCCYAAAAGCACACTGTTTCGAGCCACCTTGAGTCATAACTGGATTTTTGACCCTTAATGAAAGTTGTAGCATGCAGTATGATCTTCCTGACTGCAAAATACGAGCTTAATCCGACTTACGGTTTGTGAGTTATACACTGTCAAAGTACAGGAGTTATATTGTCGGTAAAATTCGATTCCGTAATTCCCGACTAACTTTTATGATCCAACTTTCATGATTTGCTATATTTACATGCTATAAACGTAYTTCAACATACTAAACAGTAAAACAAGTCCAATGGTCGTTAACCTAAGCTTAATCATGCATTTTTACTCCTTTCGATATTTAACCGAACAATTTGTGTACGGTTAAACATTTACCCACAATCTAATCATATTGAAACTATAATATACCCTTTTTATTTCTACATCAATATAACCAGTACTAGCATCCTAAACATCAAATATATMATAATTTTGACAATATCARTCYGTAAACTTAGATATAAACACAGTTTATAAACCGGTCTAAATAACCCTAACATAAACACCTTAATAAAATTGAATGAAATTTATACCTTTAAGAAGGGTTCGGAAAGTGGATTCCGAATATATAATTGTTACTTCGATTCCTTCAATAATTTGCCGTGAAAATTAGAGAGAAGACGAGAGATTTTTAGAGAGAGAAAATATTGAGACGAGAGGTGAGAATGGAGGCGGTGATACCGCCATTCACGCATGCATGTATATATATAAAAAAAATTATTTTTATTTAATTTTTATATATATATATAGTTTAACTATTTGGCGGTTTTGACCCTTCAAGTCTATATTCTCAACTTTTACGTCAAATTAGATATAAACTCATTTTTGACGCAAAACTCGTCTGAAGTACAAGTTGGTATAACATAGGGTACAACTATGTTATGCATAATTCTACCAAAAATTTACTTAACCCAATTTGTACGAGTTAACGAAACCTGAATATTATAAAATATATACCGTATTTACATTCTAACAGTTTAGAATTGATTACTATGTTATTGGAGATTTGTCTTTTGGAGGTCTAATTACATCTTCAGGTCTCTTTGTGTTGATTTAGGAGTTCTCCTAAATTGCAGGAAGATAGGATGCTAATATAAATGTTATCACAAGCATGATTTAGAATACAGACATCTTACCTCGAGGGTCTTAGATAGGTGTAGGACACATAATTTTGATATACCAGTTACTTACTCGGAATTTTACAAGAAGTATGGATGTCGCATCACTGAGCAATTGGATGTCATAAATCATAATATAGGGTTTTGTGTTTATTAACAACTGCGAGAAGGTTTGAGTAAAGAACTGCTAGTCTGCTACAATTAGCAACCTTAGTAATAACACCATTTCAAAAGAGCTAAGAGAAGGGATCCATACAAATAGAAACCAGAGTTCAGGTTACTAGAAGTTGAATGATAAAGAACAAGAACTTGTAATTATTAACATTCAAAGGATTACAACCTAAGATAAATGAGATGGATTCATGAAAATATGAATCTTACTAATTAGCTTCTCGCAAGTTGCAATGTGAAGTCCTTGTAAGTCGTAATAAAGGAAAATTAGATGATGGAAGTTTAGAGGAAGGCCTGTTTGATTAGATGCTTATATGCATACACTGAACCTCCATATTATACTTAAAATTTAAAATCCAACTTGGACCTATAAGATTAGAAAAAACACTGGGTGCTACATGGCTATGCAGATTTAAACACTAAATTGATCTTGGAGTTAAGATGAACAAATCGCGAAACATAAACAAAAATGGTTGCACGTTGTAGTCTAAATGTTCTGGACCTTAATAATGGAATATCTAGGAAGATATATTTTCATATTGGTATATTTATTTAATTTAGCTTGAATGTGGACCTCTAGACATACTGTTTCTGAGGGGAGGTATGTACCACAAAACGGGTGTTAGGAGAGGAAGGAGTAAGCAAAACTAAATGTGGGTGAAAGTAGTCAAGAAATTTCAAACCAGTTGGAATATGCCATAGGGAATTTGGCTTTTACAAGTGTATGAGGGGACATCATTCATGTTCCTAAGAAATGTTAAGTTTGGTTCACCTAGGTTCTGGTGGCTCTCATCTCTACCCTACCTAAATGGTTGGCTTTTGTTGTCTATATATTTGTTTTCATGTTCAATATTTTCTACTGGTATTCAATATCCTTCTTGCTTACACCCATTTGTTTGTGTTATTTACAGGTTGTACTGAAGGAAAATTTAGTTCTTATGCTATTTAGGGATGAGGTAATCTCTCAAGGATAGCTGAAATTGACAAAAAAAATTGTTGAGTAAATTAACCATTGTTATATTCTTGAAATGCAGTATATATTGTTGCATGAGGATTATCAGTTATATGTATTGCCACGAATATTGGAATCAAAGAAAATGGCAAAATCTGGGCGAACAAAGCAGAAAGAAGCAGATTTGGAATATAGTGTTGCAAAGCAAGTTGAGAAAGTGATAAGGTATTAAAAGAAGTCTGGCATGGGAATAACAGTGTATAAATTTTAAATGATGTGGCCAGATGTATCATGGCTATAAATTTGAAATGACACATAAGGTTTTGTTATGGGTAATGCATATCCTTGTCTTTATTTGCAACCTCTGATTATCTGCCCCTTGAATACATTTCTTGCTCAGTCTCTTTAAGATCAACTTTTTTTTGTCTAATGTCCAATAAAAGTAATCTCAAAGGCATGTGCCTTTCACTTTCTATCTGATCTATGTTGCTTATTTACTGCAGTGAAGTGCATGACCAAGCAATTGTATCATGTGATGCAATTCATCATGAGAGGAGAATATTATTGAAGCAAGAGATTGGAAGGATGGTTCTCTTTTTTACTGATCAACCGAGTTTATTGGCTCCTAATATTCAGGTATATTGTACTCCGTAAATTCTTCATAGTAGCTAGAAAGTGACATCCTCAAACCGTCTTCTGGTACTCTGCAACAAACTTATGCAACCTGTTATAAAAATAGAGCTCACTTCCTTTATTAGAATATGAAGCAAACGTATCTGGACAAAGTGGGTGAGGGCTAAAACGAACTAAACCAAAATAGCTAGGTAAGGGTCCTGAGGAATTTACCCAGTGGATAGGGACGGCAGAGTGTCACAGAGTCCTAGAAAAGAATTGGAAAGCAACTGATCGAAGGCAATAGAAAGGTTGACAGAGAGAACACTCTGCATTGACAATAGAATCTGGTGCTAAAGTTGGATTAGGTTCAGAATTACACAGTTATTGCGGTCCTAAACTTTAATCACGGTTCGGACAGTGATTTTTCATAGTGGTTGTCGCAGTGGTATAACATAAAAAATAGCGGTTCATGTAATTAATATAAATACCAAACGAGATTTTCCGGGCAGCATTGGAAGTTGCGTCTATCAAGGATAAGTTGACGTCTGCATACGTCTTACACACCCCATCCTACCTCAGGGTGGGATATATTGGGCTTGTTTGTTTTGGTTTAATATATGTAATACATTTTAGTAGTAATACTCGATAGAAGTCTAAAAAATTAGCTTCAATGCTGAAACATAAAGTTCTGCATGATAGTCTCAAAATAAAAATGTATCAAGTCACACATCAAAACAAATCAAATAGGGCAAATCCATGTGAATAGCGGTACCGTGATTTATGTACCATGATAATGAAATTTTGTAACGGTTGAGGACCGCTAACCGCTATAGCCCCAGGTTCAGCGGCAACTTAACAGAACAAATGGGCCCAAATAGACTGCAGAGAAACAGTGAAGAAAACCATGGCAGTTGGTGGCCTAGAGCCCGCGAGTTGGGTGGCAGCTGGTAACCTCCAAGAGCCTAATATTGCTCCCATCCAATGTTACAATACTAGCATGATGCACTTATTTGAATATCCGCTTACAACCTTAGTCTTAACTATTCGACACTTCAGGGCCCTCAAGACCTACTTCAGTGATAAACGCCTCTCCATGGAAACTTATAAATCGGATCTTCTTAACTAGAATATTCATTGATACAAACTTTCAAGAAGCGAGTTCTCTTTTGATAATTTTGTTATTGAAACACACTACCACCACACCCAACAAGCTATATTCTATGAATTACAATTCAAGAAGTGCTGATATAACAGATGAATGTCTGTTGTCAATTGATTGTCTTTGCAGATGGTATTTTCTGCATTGGCATTGGCACAAAGCGAAGTCATATGGTACTTTCAACATGTTGGAATTAGTTCATCAAAATCCAAGGCCAATCGGATAGTGGCAGTAGACATAGTAAGTTTAAAGTGCAGACTTGAAGTAGCATGATCTCATGATTTATTCTTTTCCCAAATTTTTATGGTGGCACATGTTATAACAAGCTTGACTTGGCAACTTCTGGTTGCAGAATCCAAATGATCCTACGATAGGATTCTTGTTGGATGGGATGGACCGCCTTTGCTGTCTAGTACGCAAATATATTGCAGGTAAGGATGAGTCTAAGAGCAGTTGCTGTGTGCTTCTTAGTCCTGTTGGTTTGTGATGACTTTGTTGGTAAAATTTGATTTGCATACAACTGAATATCTGCAAGAATTTCTAGAAGAAATGTCTGTTAATTTGGGGTATATATATATATATATTAATATGCTTTTCTGAAAGGTTCTTTACCCTTTTGTTCTTGAGGTCTTTTTTGGAGTTGTCAAATTTAGTTTCTGCTTACTACCATCAGAATCGGAAGGTGCCAGGACTGGTTGGGCCAGAAAGATGCCAGCTACCATGCACGATTATAGAAAAATAGAAGATTGCGTCCACTTCTGCTTTTCGATAATGAATCGTCGACCATTCTCTGACTCTTTTCTCTCTCTCATACGTAGTATTGTTAGTACGCTCGTTCCCCATTGTCTAACTGTAGTATCTAGTCTCCATATTTGACGATGTGGTCCAAAAATTTCATAACGTGTTCGGTGAACCATATTGCCATTAATATAGGCCATCTCCCGACTTAGGTAATCGTAGGCTGTAAATCTGCTAGTAAAAGAATGTGCATTCGACCGAAATTTGCTGCAGCCTTGTGTGTGGTCCTTTATCAACTAATCATAAGTGAAGAACCTGGCACAAAACTTGTTGAGCTTGATGAGAACCCATGATGATGGTGTTACAAGAACAATATGTAGAATCAACTGTCAAAAAAAATCGGAGTCGTGTGAAAGAGAATACCAAGTAGTGGAATGCTGAAATTGCTTCGGAACACAATATGACACTCTCCAAAGCCACTTACAACATATTCAAAACAACTGGATGCACATGCAAGTGCAATTAAATTCTGGTTTGACTGCTGTTGCTTTTGAATATTTGAGCATGGTCTGTTAAGTTAGCTATCTATGCATATTCATTGTAAGACAGATTGGTACTTTGTTGCCACAACTGGATATGTGTTTGAGAGAGTTATTGTAATGCTTTGCAGCCGTGAGAGGCTATGGTTTATCCTATCTATCATCTTCTGCTGGCCGGATTCGCTTTTTGCTTAACACTCCTGGAATGGTGGCTCTTGACCTGGATGCCAGTCTGAAAGGACTTTTCCAAAAGATCGTTGAGCATCTAGAGAACATACCAAAACCGCAGGGTGACAATATCTCTGCAATTACCTGTGATCTATCGGTAAGTAATCCATTCAAATCATGTATACATATGTAATATCTGGTAGTTTTAGTGTCATTTGTTTGTTAGCTAGGCTTTTTGGCGGACTCCTTATGAGGGAAGGCATTACTCTACACATCTTAAACTTATCTTTTCTCTCTCCACCCCACCCAATTGTCCTTCTATTCTCCATCCTACGTTACATAAGCATCTCTTTGGGCGGTTGAAGGTCCTTCAATCTCATATACATCAGAAATTGTTAAAGGAACATAATACTGAACTGAAGGGATAAGTCAAGTGCCTAACAAATTTATATTTAATTGAAAAGTTAAAAGTCAATGTGTCTATTCCAAAAGAGAACCTTCCCAGGGTTGCTGGAAGAAAATAATACCATCCAGAAATGAGGATAACATAAATATTAAGCTACTTAGAAAGTAAAGTATGGCCTGTCAAGTAGCAAGGTGTAAGTAATCACACTCACTTTTTCTATGTATTGAAGTTATCAACAAAAAAAATTACAAAATTTTAAACTGAAAGTCTTATTATTAGATTTGTAAAGTAAAAAACAGTCTGAAATTGAAAGGAATACGAAGGTGATTGGAAGAAAAAATGGAGTCTAGTGTTTGCTTTTAATAGGAGGCTTTACAGCCAGTACTACTGTTACAGATCAAATAAATTGATATAAAACATGTAAAAGAACAGTGTCAGGCTTTTTTGTGCACCTTCAGAAAACCCCTCATTTGCTAACGGCAGTGACTGCATACGTATTTGTAAAAATAGCAAATTCTTGAGTCGAAGTTATCTACTGCATTTAGCAATGTTGAATGTTTATTTGTTTTCTTGGTCCAACTATACATTGATAACTGAAGTGGATGGACCATAAAGCGATTTGTATCCTCAATAGGACTACTCTCTCTAGACAGTGGATACCTTGTTATTGGTGGTCTGTAGTTGAATGATGAACCCAGGTGATTTGATATGAAATTCATGAAGCAAGAAATTGTGTTGAAACTTATACTCCAGCACATAGGTTTAAGAGTCCTATGCTTGTGTGGACAAATAAGTGGAAGGAAATAAAAAGAAAGGATAACAAAATCAGAAAACAGCTTAGTAAGTCAACAGTTCTTTTTAATAGATTAATGTTGATATAAATGGGAGACAAGTGGGAATTAGGTAAGTCCTAGTCTTCACCAATCATTTCTTTCTTTTATTTTTATTAAAGGGATAGAGCAAATCTACTCCATGTAAATATTCATCATTCAATCAAAGTTGTAAGAAGATACAAGCTATAGAAATGGCATGTAGAACATTTACAGCAGAAAGTATAGATTTATTTAGAAACGTAATGAATGCGGCTACTTGAAAGTAAAACTAAACACTCAAGGTTGACAACCTTTTTGTATGAGGGAAAGGTACCCTACATGAAGACATTTTGGATTTTTACCCAAAAAAAAAAGATTTTGGAGTTGAGCTAAAATAATTATATGCTCCCCCAACACCTTCTCTTGTATTTTCCATTAAGTGGCATGCTATTGTTATTGCTCTTACTTCATCGTGACTGCTGTTCATGTTGGTTTTCTTATTTCACTAATGCGTATTGGAAATTTATCATACTGGATAAGCAGGAATTACGTAAGGATTGGTTATCAATTTTGATGATTGTTACCTCTGCCCGGTCATCTATTAACATTCGACATTTGGAGAAAGCGACGGTGTCTACTGGAAAGGAAGGCTTGTTGTCTGAAGGGAATGCTTTATACAATTGGTCCAGGTGCTCTGTACTTTTAAACTTGTTTTTGAGCTTTTTAAAGTTAATGTGAAAGTAGGTTACTCATTTGGATACCTAATATACGTATGCCATATCTTATATGCTCATTGGATGTGTCAAGCCAGATGTGTTGATGAACTTGAATCTCAGCTTTCTAAACATGGGAGTCTGAAAAAGCTGTATTTCTATCATCAACATCTTACAACTGTACGTTTTAGCTTTCTGATTGTGTTTCCAGTTGTACTACTTCAGAATTTGTAATATTTACCTGAACCTGGTTCAATACAGGTTTTCAGAAATACCATGTTTGGACCTGAAGGGCGCCCCCAACATTGCTGTGCATGGCTGGGTGTTGCTAGTAGCTTTCCAGAATGTGCTTCTACAATTGTTCCGGAAGAGGTGATTGATAAATTTATGCTTCCTATTGGCAGTTTTGGTGCTACTAGATTGGCAATGTCTTTTGCACTATGTTTGTCCTGAAAGTTTGATCATCTAAACTAGGCTTTTTAAGTTTCTGTTAACTACAGCTTCTATGTAAAATGGTACATCATTGTGAGTTTCATTTACAGAGCTGGCGGCTGACCTGTAATAAATTCGAGTTAAGCCAAGTAAAGATTGCTGTTAGTTCCCTCTAGAGTCGTAGATGTAGACCAGGGTGATAAGTAAAGGCCACTCAGTTTAATGTGGAAAGCCGTGGGTTCAACGCTTAAGTGTCATCTACTGCATTTTATGTCTTGACGGGATAAATATTTAGAATACATGTAATCTTGTTTGAATGGGACTCCTTTCTTGAATTGGATGGAGTGGTCTCAGTGGTAACATCTTGTTACAATAATAACAAGGTCCGTGCAACAAAATCGTGGTAGCAATAAGAGATCATGTTGATCCAGATGCTGCTTAAATTATCCATTAATAAATGTGTTTAATTCAAAGAAGTTCTGTTAGTGCAGAGCAAGGCTGGCGAGGTTTTCTTATTACAAGCGATGATAAGAAATGTTTTTGACTTTCCGTTTTCCGTTTGTTCAGTGAACAGACGGAACTCATTATGTCTATTTTACATCTAATGTAATACTCACTAGAATACTCGCTGTACTTTTTACTCTCATACCCCTGGTTTCTACTGTAGAAATCCCACTTATCTTGAACTATGAAAATTGTATTATTATTGTTGGAGTCCCACATTGGCTAGATTTGGACCATTTCTCCATGTATGTTAGAACCTCTCTTCTCTCCTAAAGGGCTCTTTTGGATGTAATCTAATGGGGTTCCAGATATTCTCACATGGTATAGAGCCAAGGTCTACCATTCTAGGGACTCAACACTCTGGCACAATTTGTGCCTGTCTAGCCTCAAGTCCCATATCGGCTAGACTTTTACCATTTCTCCATATATGTTGGGAACCTCTCTTCTCTCCTCAAGGGCTCTTTTTGAGAGTAATCCAATGGGGTTCCACATATTCTCAATTATCATACGTCTACATTCCAATTTTTTGAAGGCAACAGTGATATACTTGTATTGGTTTATATTGGCATGCTGTGCCTGAAGGACAGTTTGATAACTGTTGATTGCTTTAATGCAGCTAACTAGAATTGGTCGAGATGCTGTTCTATATGTTGAGTCCCTCATTGAGTCCATCATGGGAGGGTTGGAAGGGCTAATCAATATCCTCGATTCTGAAGGAGGTTTTGGCTCCTTGGAGACTCAGGTTCTTGCTTGTTTATCCAAATTAGCCAAGTTAGTATTAATGCATAAGACTAACCATAAACCATTTCACTGTCAGCTTCTTCCAGAGCAGGCAGCGATTCTCATGAACTTGACATCCAGACTTTCTATTCCTTCAGCAAAATCCCCAAGGGGCATATCTGGTTTGCATTTGCCAGGCTATGAAAGCTATCCTGAAAGTAATAACTCCATTAAAATGTAAGATACTTTGAACATTAATCTGTGAATGTTATTACTCCCTCCGGCCCAAAATAAATGTCCACTATGAAAAAGGCACACAGTTTTGGAAATGTGTAACTTTTTATAATTAACTAAATGACAGTTTTACTGTTAATAATAGAGAGAGTAATGAATTTCTCCATATCTAATTAAGGGTAGAATTGAAAAGGAGGCACTTACTTTTGAAAGTGGACACTTATTCTGGGACGGAGGGAGTATTTGTTCTCTGACATTTCACACAAAAATTGATGTGTATATATATGTCCTGATTGGCAGGTTAGAAGCTGCCATGCAGAGATTAACAAATCTTTGCTCAGTTTTGAATGACATGGAGCCTATATGTGTTTTAAATCATGTCTTTGTCTTAAGAGAGGTAAGCTCCTCTGGTAGTTACTTGTATGGTAATGAAGTTGCATGTCCAATAAAACTTTTGATTTTGAGTTCCTCTCTCTCCAAATTATATTGGTTACTGTTGATGTTGCTCGACTGGTCCTACTCAAGACATATAAGCATAGTAATTAAAAGGGGTCTATAGCAATCACCAATTATTGACATTCCAACTCAAAACCATGTTTTTTAAAGGAAAATCGTAGAAGTTAGTTCACATTTTCTCGCTGGTGTGTATATAATATTTATATACGAAAAATACTCATGCACGCTCCCCACCTTCGGTGAGGTTTGAAACCCTTGACCTCCTGGAAAGTTGGGCTCTAGCGGCAACCCAGGTGCCACGGAGCCAATGACCCTTTGGTATCACTAGTAACTAATTTTTCAGCATGACCTGTTGCAATGCAGTACATGAGAGAATGCATCCTTGGGAACTTCAGAAGAAGGCTGCTTGCTGTTTTGAAATCAGATACAGATCTTCAACGTCCTACAGTTCTTGAATCACTAATTCGTAGACATGTAAGTATAATCCATTTGGCAGAACAGCATATAAGCATGGACCTGACACAGGGTATTCGGGAGGTTCTATTGACCGAGGCTTTCTGTGGTCCAGTTTCATCTTTACATACGTTTGAAAAGCCTGCTGAACCACATGCCGGATCAGCCATTGAGGCTGTGTGCAATTGGTATGTTGAAAATATCGTGAAGGATGTCTCTGGAGCCGGGATCCTTTTTGCACCTATTCATAGATGCTTTAAGAGCACGAGACCTGTTGGTGGCTATTTTGCCGAGGCCGTAACCGATCTTAGAGAATTACAAGCTTTTGTTCGTGCATTTGGTGGCTATGGAGTCGACAGATTAGACCGAATGATGAAAGAACATACGGCTGCCCTTTTGAACTGCATTGACACATCACTGAGGGCAAATCGTGAAGTATTAGAGGCGATTTCTGGAAGCATTCACTCCGGTGACCGGATAGAAAGAGAAGCAAATGTAAGGCAGATAATCGATGTAGAAACAGTTATTGGATTCTGTATTCAGGCAGGGCAAGCCATTGCATTCGACTCTCTTTTAGCAGAAGCTGGCGGAGTGGTGCTTGCAGAAGGTGCACCATTGATACATTCATTACTGACAGGGGTTGCAACACATTTACCCGTTGAAGTACCTGAGAAAAAAGAAATTAGGAGGATGAGAAGGGTGGCAAATAGCGTTCAAGTAGTTGCGGATCATGATTCTGAGTGGGTTCGAGAAATATTTGAGGATGTTGGAGGTGCAAGCGATAATTCATGGAGCTTGCTGCCTTACTTATTTTCCACTTTCATGACATCTAATATCTGGAATACGACCGCCTTCAATGTTGATACAGGAGGGTTCAACACTAATATCCACTGCTTGGCAAGGTTAAAGTGCTTCTAACTATTGTTTCTGAAAGATTTGCGTTTTGGAGCTTCATTTTGATTGATAGATTTCCAACATTCTTCCCTCTGAATCTGTCTTCCTACTCGTCGAATATTTTATGTCTTTTCAATTTTATTAGTAATTATATGTGGTTATTCAAAATGTGTTTCTGCTTCCATATTCATTCCCATATTGTCCCTTTAAGAGGTCAGACCTGCATATATCCTGCCCCTTAGACCCCACCTCCGGGTGGTACATACTAGGTTTGGTTTGGTTCAAGTTTATTATCTAATCATACTTTGTCTGACAGGTGCATTTGCGCTGTGATCGCTGGAAGTGAGCTAGTTAGACTTGAAAGAGAACATCAACAGCGACAACTGTATTCAAATGGCCATGCTGGCGATACTGTGGAGCCTGAAATGCCAGATCATCTGTCTGTTGAATCAAACATAAAGTCTACAATGCACCTCTTTGTCAAAATTTGTGCCGGGATTGCATTGGATTCGTGGAATGAAATCGACAGGTACTGATTTCATTTAACACAAAGGTCGATCAACGTGATTTATTTGTCTACAAATGGAATAGATATATGATAAAATCCAAGCCTACTTTCGAGTGGGATAATACTAGGTTCGTTTGGTTTTGAATCTCGTCAAATTACCTAAAATCTACTTTATTTCTGCAGGTCGCATCTCGTGGCAAAACTAATCTTTTTGGACCAATTGTGTGAGATATCTCCGTACCTACCACGAAGTTCACTCGAGCTGCATGTTCCTTACGCCATTCTACGTTCCATATACAGTCAATACTACGGAAACTCTCCTTCCAATCCTCTCTCGCTTCTAAGTGCATCTCCACGAAGCTCTCCAGCCGTATCCATGGGACACGCTTCTCCGGCTATCAGGCATCCGTACGGTGATTCGACACCACAATCAAGTCACGATTCGGGTTACTTCAAGGCGGCATCAGCACACAGCCAAGATCAGACTTATGACAACGATAAGGGGCATACAAGAAGCACCGACCATAAGCATCGAAATACAAGACGATCGGGTCCGTTGGATTATAGTTCGAGCCAGAAAGTGAAGCTTGTGGAAGGGTCGACGTCTGGAAGCCGAGGTCCGAGTCCACTGCCGAGATTTGCCGTGTCGAGATCGGGTCCCATATCATACAAATAGAGACCGGTTGGAGCATGTTGTAATAGAACTTCAAGAATGTGTTATCAGTCTTATACTCCAAATGAACAAGTAATCAACTAATGACTGCATTTATCTTTTAACTTAACGGCCGTTATGTTTTCCTCTTTCCAAACAGTTGAAATAGATACACCACGTTAAATGTGAGTCTCAAAAGCTATAATTATGGGTTGTTTGTTTACCTCTTAATAGTTCCATTAAAAGGCAACATCTGAATCATTAAGAGGTGAATCTTGTTTTACAAGAAATTTTGTATCCTGAACGTTCCTTAACCATTAAGGGGTTGTTTACCGAAATGCTTACCTGGTAAGTGCTTACCTATATGAGTAAAACACTATAATTTATTTTGATGAGTAAGATTCTAATACATCAAAATGTATTGAATGCAACAATTACCTGGTAAATGCTTACATGGGTAAGAGTCGTAATCTTCACTTACCAGGTAAGACTCTCCATCATTCTCATCGCTCTTACCCGGTAAGATTTTTGGCCCTTGACATGTTCATCTGATAAGAAAATTTATTTGGTAAGCACGTACCAAGTAAGCGTTCAGTAAACGGCCTTTAAGTGTCCTGATTTCATTATAAACAATTACCAAACAATTATATTTCATTTATCATGAAAGTCTCTTAATCATTCTGATCACTTAATCATTCTGTACCAAAACATTTAGCATCACTGAAAATTAAAGTGAGTTTCAAACACTAGTATATTTTTACACTTCTTTTAATAACCGATCCCCTAAATTCGCATAGTTAATTTATTTAATCTATATATATATATTAAAGGAACAACCAAATTGTTGTTCAATGAGAACATTTTTATCCTATTTATCTTTTTTTTATCATTTTGATTTATTTTAATATACAATCAATACATTAATTGTTAACCTTTTCATTTTCCTGCTTTTTTAACTCCATTTTCATTATTTTATAAAGGAAAAATTAAATCCACAGATATATAAAACTATATATAATTTTATTTACATCAATACATGCATATTTTTAATTACATGACATTGAAAAAATAAATCATCAAAATCAATATATNATATATATATATATATATATATATATATATATATATGAAAATCTATTAAAACTTCTCAATCAAGCAATATCTCAAGATAAATATTAAAAATATATCAAAATAATAACTAAAATGTGGTTCAATGAGAAGTTTTCAAACGTATTCTTTTTATAAATGAAATTAGAATCCACAAACAAGTATTTTGATTTACATCAATGCACATATTCTTTTATTTACGTCAATGCATATATTCTTTTATTTACATGATGATTAAAAATGCATTATATGTTATATCAGGTGGATGTTCAAACGAGAACCCCTGTGATTTACGAGAATACGAGAATAACCTCAAACTTTTTTAATTAATAAATTAACTTATATTATATATAAATAATTTAATAAGGGCAATAATGTAATTAAGTAATTTTTATAACTTTTATTTTATTTTAATTTCATAATTATCCCTTTTGTTGACCACGTTTCCACGTTTTCCTCTGGTTAGTTTTCTTATCTAACCTTCTTCTCCAGATTGTTCATCCTTCTTCTCCAGATCGTTCATGATAGTCGACTTTCTTAATACCTTTTCTTCATATCGTTAGTATCCATTTTTTTGTCGATCTAGAGTGGACGACTTGAAACCCATATCACATGATTATCACACCCATATCACATGATTATCACACCCATATCACATGATTATCACACCCATATCACATGATTATCACACCATATCACACAAAATCGTTTTCGTTGTGATAAATGTGTGATTGTCTAATCCTAACCTATCGAAACCCTCCGAAATCGTTGTGATAACGTCTAACCTAACCCATTGAAACCATGATTAAGTCGAGTGATATTGATATCACATGATTATCACACCCATATCACATGATTATCACACAAAATCGTTTTCGTTGTGATAAATGTGTGATTATCTAATCCTAACCTATCRAAACCATCCGAAATCGTTGTGATAATGTCTAACCTAACCCATTGAAACCATAATCAAGTCGAGTAATATTGATATCACATGATTATCACACTCATATCACACAAAATCGTTTAATTGATTTCGTCAGTAATTTGTTGTGATAAATGTGTGATAAACTAATTAGATAAGACGTTATGACTTCTTTGTTGGTCTCCTTGAATTCTTAACTGATATATTAGATAAGAATAATCAATGTTAATCATGTGATCGTGTTAAAAGATTTTATGATATCATTTTCATTATTACCCTTTTAATTTATATTTTTTTAATCTTTTTAAATTTCAATTTTAATTTTAAAAAATCTTTTAATTTTATTTTTTTATCACAATATGAGGTTAATAGGTTGTTCTCGCGTTTTCGTAAATCACAGGGGTTCTCGTTTGAACCCTTCCCTGTTATATCAATATATATATATATATATATATATGTGTGTGTGTGTGTGTGTGTGTAGATATATATTAAAGGAACTCACATTTAATTTTTTTCATAAAATGAACAAAAATATGTAAAATAATATCTTAATCATAGTTTTTGATGATAAACATAATCCAAAAAATTATTTTTTATATCAATTCTTACAAATTTATAATATTTTTGTGGTTCTCATTTGATTATCATCCCCCTTAAACACACACACACACACACATATATATATATATATATATAAATTTTTAATGTATAAATTTATATATATATATATATATATATA